AGATAAAAAGGAAAAGAAAGTGTGCTTTGCATTTTCATCCATTTATTTTCCAACCCCTGTTTCCCCAATGCTGGGCCGTAGGAGAGCCGTAGTCTATCGCGGCAAGAAATGGGTGTAAGGCACAGTACACACCAGTCCATCGCAGGGCAAACGCGCACACTCTCAAACCAGGGACATTTTTTGCAAAAGCCAGTTAACCTGCCAGCAGGTCTTTGGACTGTGGGAGGCACCCCGCTTGAACAGGGGGAGCACATACAAACTCTAGCGATCGCAGGTCCGGAACTGAACTCGGGGCCCCAGCGCCGAGAGGCGGCAGCGCTAACCTTTGCTGCTGCATTGTCATTCAAATCCTTGGAAATTCAGAAACTTTCACTTAATCAAACCATGCCAATCCCAATTTCAAATATGGTCCTGGCTTTAGATGCGAGGGGCGACATTTTGCTCAATGTTTTTTTTTTTATTATTCTGATATGAGTTTTTGGGGGTTGTCGGCATGCGTTTCTTAATAATTGCCAATAAATGAAACGGGCAGATGCGGTCATTTTTTCACAGAAGTTGTCTTCCACTGCCATCGGGTGGATAAAGGGAGAAGTGCACTGAACTCTCCAGGTCCGCAAAACACTAATAAAAGAGAAGACTACTAAATTGGCAAGGCCAGAAAAAAAATATAGAATAGAATAACACTCTACAGGCAGTACTTGTGCAAGGAACATGGTAAGAGTATCGGCAATCACACTTTGTAAATTCTGTTTTGCACCAACACGAAAAGGAAAAGTAATGTTGGAAACATTTCAGTGGTCTTTATTAAGTCACCTTTGTTCTATATTTGAGAGACATAGCGATGCACAGTCAAGTGAAGGCGTTTATTTTCGCCTGAACAAGGGTTTTATGTATTATGGCAGCATACACTGTTGCAAAACTATCTTGTTATCAAATGTATTTATCGGTCTTTGCTATTACGCTTTTCTTTCTTAATGTCCTAATGTTTACCCTTTACTTCAATTTTCAAAGGAATATTAGGAAACTACCTTAATTACACAGAAACTAAAACAGTGATAAGTAAACTTTTTTCTGTGTGTGTTTGGGGTTATCAGGTTAATTAATACTAATAATAATAATAATTGCTTACACTTATATAGCGCTTTTCTGGACACTCCACTCAAAGCGCTTTACAGGTAATGGGGACTTCCCTCCACCACCACCAATGTGCAGCAATTTTGCCAGATTAATTCAATTTGTGTGCAATCGGACTGTGGGATAAGATTAAATTGTAACTAAAAATCAAATGCTGAAAAAAGTAGACCGATCAGTTTTAAAGTCAATCAATTGCCAGAAAGCAGAAAAGCTAGTGGAAGAAAGTGAAGTTTGTCCTGTCCGCCCACAATTTAACCCAATGCGATGGAAGACGGAGGGGGGAGGACTTATCTTTTCGTCCAAGTGCCGGTATGTTATTTACACTCGATCCCTAACTGAACCTGCCTCGTCACTTGTCCTTCACCCTATGCTGCTCAGCTGACAAGAAGTTTTGTTATGGTGGTGTCTGCTGGACTAGGCCCGTGCGTACTTCGTCGGCTCAGGCAATTACCTCTCCAGTTGCAGCGTAACATGTCCTCCTCCGGTTCGACACGGCCCAAACTCCCAGTCTCCGTGCTGGGAACCATGGCATTCGGGGGGCGCGCAGACGCGGAGACGAGCGCCGCTATGGTGCGCGCTTTCTTGGAGCGCGGTCACAATGAAGTGGACACGGCGTTCATGTACACAGATGGACAGTCAGAGACAGTCATTGGAGGCATGGGGCTGCCCCAAACAGGTACCCTACCCTGCGTGCAGACCACTCTGTAAGACACTGGAGAAGGCTGTTTTTATGGAACGATTCAAGTGACACTTGTGATTGTGATTACGACTCACTGCATGTCCGCAAAGCATATTCATGCTTTCCGCTGCAAACAAAAGTAGTTTACAAATTGTAGCAATCAGTATTTATTCATAATTAATAATATCTACAAAGAATATATAAATGAAAATGCAGATCATTAACAAAACACAAAAACTGGGCATGCTAACGAACCTGAAAGCTTAGCTCTTCCAGTCCATAGATCATGAATGGGTGACACATTTTCTCTAGCTAATACATAATGTTACTGTGGTTCTTGGCCCCGTTTGTTTTTGATTTATCACTTGAAGTACTTCAATCGCCTGCAGACTACTGAATTTGTGATTCACTCTGCGGTGTGTGTCGTAACTACCTCCAGTTTTCTAATTGTCCACTCATCTTTCCATGTCTGATCTCAAGTTCAAGCTGTAGACGCAAAGAAAAGATGCGGTTTTGTGTCCGTCTCAGAAAGCCTTTGTAAATCCCGATCCCGATATCTGTACACATGCAGTAAAATCAAGGGAAAGGTTCAAGAGGTTTTTCCACTTCAACATGCTGAAGTGCGCTCCCTGGCAGAAGGTTGTGTCTTTGTGTAGTAGTAGTTACAGTCTGTTCTGAGGTCTAGCCGAAACCATTAATGGCACGAGTCTGACTCGCACTCTAGACCTGAACTTTGGTGCCGAACAGACTAGGTCTAGAGGCAGGACGAGGGGACCGCTGTGATGAGCACCTTTCTGAGAGGTCGCATCTTATACAGAGGGAAAAATAATGCAAAGCGGAAAAGCCGTGTTTCGAGCGCGGGCTTGGGAATCTCGGCGATGCCGTGCAGCTTCCACGATTTGAGCTTTACTTACGCTTACACTTATATAGCGCTTTTCTGGACACTCCACTCAAAGCGCTTTACAGGTAATGGGGACTCCCCTCCACCACCACCAATGTGCAGCCCCACCTGGATGATGCGACGGCAGCCATAGTGCGCCAGAACGCTCCCCACACACCAGCTCTCAGTGGGGAGGAGAGCAATGTAGCCAATTCATAGAGGGGGATTATTAGGAGGCCATGATTGGTAAGGGCCAATGGGACATTTGGCCAGGACACCGGGGTCACACCCCTACTCTTTTCGAGAAGCGCCCTGGGATTTTTAATGACCGCAGAGAGTCAGGACCTCGGTTTTATGTCTCATCCGAAGGACGGCGCCTGTTTACAGTATAGTGTCCCCGTCACTATACTGGGGCATTAGGACCCACATGGACCGCAGGGTGAGCGCCCCCTGCTGGCCCCACTAACACCTCTTCCAGCAGCAACCTTAGTTTTTCCCAGGAGGTCTCCTAGGACCAGGCTCACACCTGCTGAGCTTCAGTGAGTTGCCAGTTGTGAGTTGCAGGGTGACATGGCTGCTGGCTTTCCCTTCAGTTTTAGAAAAAGCCGGGGGGGGGGGTGAAGACTGTGTGAAGCAGGCTTGCTCTGTGTCCCCGGCAGTGAAAATGGCCACCAAGGCCAACCCCTGGGACGGGAAGACGCTGAGGCCGGAGAGCGTGCGCTCGCAGCTGGAGACCTCCCTGAAGAGGCTGCGGACGGAGCGCGTCGACATCTTCTACCTGCACGCGCCACACCACCAGACTCCCCTCGGGGAGACCCTGAGAGCCTGCCAGGAGCTCCACAAAGAGGTAGACTGAGAGAGAGGGAGTTTATTCCTGCCCCCGGGGGGCAATTTGTTCTGCAGTGTGGTGCAGTGGCTCGGTGGCTAAGGATCTGTGGTTGTGGCTGTGGCTGGAAGGTTGCCGGTTCATATCCCGCGGCCGGCAGAGGAATCCTAGTCCATTGGGCCCCTGAGCAAGGCCCTCAACCCCAGCTGCTCCAGGGGCGCCGTATAAATGGCTGACCCTGCGCTCTGACCCCAAGCTTCTCTCCCTGTCCGTCTCATGGAGAGCAAGGTGGGGTATGTGAAAAGACAAATTCCCAATAAAAGTGATCTGATCTAATCTAAAGAAAAACACACAAGTAAACAATACACATACTGTATATGCAGAAGAGAATCATCTGTTGAGCGAGGTTACGGTCACAGGCCCACAGGTATGAATGAGAACCTAAGCCTGTTTGTTTTTAGAGTGGGAAATCTGTGTCCTGAGGGGAGTAACTGGAATTCACTACACAAAGGTGTGAAGGATCCTCTAGGATGGCATACGCTTTGCACAAGACTTGTAAGTGATGGATGTGGGGTAGGGCCAAATGATCAGCACCAACTAGTCTGACAGTACTCCTCAATTTGTTCTTACCCCTGAGATTCAGATTCCCAATTCAGCAGATCGGTGCAAAAGACACCAGCATCGCGCGTGGGGCTCCAGGACAATTCTGCTTTTTGTTCTGATTGACGAGGTTTGTACTGATGTACGAATCTCTTTTTTTTTTTTAGGGGAAATTCAAGGAGCTTGGCTTATCAAACTACGCATCCTGGGAAGTCGCTGAAGTTTACTGCATTTGCAAACACAATAACTGGGTCCTGCCCACAGTGTACCAGGTGAGAGAGATGAACAAGGGGCCTCGTGTCTCAGATTGCTTGGAGCCAGAATCATCAACTTAACATAAAATTGCTTGGAAACAAAACCTGCCGTTTCTTAAATACATAGGTAGCCACAGTTGGCTCATTGGCTGCGATGTTGGATTACTCGCTATTTGAAAAGTAAGGATCGCCTGTGATTGAACCTAGTGCTTGATGTGATCTTTACTGGAAGGAAAGTCAATGATTAAAAAATACTTTTCAAGATGCACAGCTTTGACAGACCCAATGATATGAGCACAAGGGCATGTCTAAACATGTGTCCTGTTGTTTGACAGATCGCACTACTAAGGCATCTGTACACCTTGATCGAATCGTATGCGTCTGGCCCTGTAAACCTCTCTCTGTGCCCTGCAGGGGATGTACAACGCCACCACTCGTCAGGTGGAGACAGAGCTGCTGCCCTGCCTGCGGTATTTTGGCATGAGGTTCTATGCCTACAATCCCCTGGCTGGTAAGCAGATACACCTCACTCACACACAGTGATGCCTTTAAACACTCTCTGGTCCTTGCAGTATCCTACTAGCACACAGTTTCCAGGAACTGGAAGATACAGGAAATGTAGAAACTCCTCTTTTGCAGTGTGACCAACTTACAGAGGATTCGGGATTTACGTAATAAACATGTAAAGAAATCTGAAACAATGTAATGGAAAAAATAGAACTTTTGTCTTATTAGCTTATACACTTATCTAGTGTGCTGGAGGTTGAATTAAGGTTTTGCCTCCAACTCAGTCTGTCTAGGCTTACAGACTGGTAGGGCTTGTAGAAACAAAAGAGAATTTATTTGAGCTATTAAGCATATGTGGTTTCCTAAAGTAGCCTCACAGGTAGCTACACTGTATGTTTTGTCTGGTTTCAAACAAAAGCTCAAAGGAGCCAGATTTCCACCTGCGCTTCGAGTCCAGGGAGGACAATCTAGATGCCTCCTCCTCCACTCCACATTAGTCATGCTTGTAGGCGGGGCCCTGGGGTGAAATCAACCGAGAAAGGGGTCTTCTGTTCCTGCGGCGTACTTACTAAAGCCCTTCCTTCTTTTTACTTTTTCCACAGGAGGACTCCTCACTGGGAAATATAAATTTGAGGACAAGGATAGCTCCCAGCCCACAGGCAGGTTTTTTGGGAACAGCTGGGCTGAAGCCTACCGAGCAAGGTGTGTGCTGTACAAGTGCTCTTTTTATTCTATGCATGAAGAACCAGCTATTTTTAATATTTAATGTTTTACTGGGGAGAGATGAAAGCAGGTGGGGTTATTCATGGATCTATTCTTCTGTTTTGGGGTAATATACCTTTACACCGCTCTCTCTCTGAGTAACTGCCAAGGTCAGAAGCAACTGAAAGGCAAAGTGTCAGATTAAGACTCAAGCATTGATTTACCTCTGTGAAACAGGTACTGGAAAGAGCACCATTTCCAGGCAATAGATGTTGTGCAGAAGGCGCTTGACGTGGTCTATGGCTCCAACAAGCCCTCCATGACATCAGCTGCCCTCCGCTGGATATACCATCATTCCCAGCTGCAGGTAACCTCTATCTGCCCCTCTGACTTCATCCAGAAACACAATAGGATCGATATTTTCATAGCTGTTTATGCCAGTTACTAAAAGAGATTACATTAGTCACGTATTGGAAGGAATTGTGTAGGTTAAAAAAAAAACAATTATTTTTGCCATTTCATTGCAACAGGATACTTTTTCATCAGCAAGACAAATCTCTTTAAGAGCAGCTGACTGTTCAGAATGTGTTAAGGTCTGCGGATCTGTTATGCAGCTATTGCCACCCGTTGGCCTTGCAATGTGGTAGATAGCCAGGCTGATGTTTTCTTTTAACTAATTGGAACTGTGCAAGCAAGGAATGTTTACTGGAGAGAGGTGGAAGCAGGTGGTGTTCATTCATGGGTATATTATTCAGAGTAAAACTGGTATTTGCTTCATGAAGGTGTCCAGCTCATATGAGATAGAGGTGGGGTTAAGCAGTGTGACTGTGTGTGTGTGTGTTGATTCACAGGGAGAGATGGGTGATGGCGTGATCATTGGTATGTCCACCATGGAGCAGCTGCAGGAGAATCTGGACGCCTCACAAGAGGGACCCCTGGACCCCGTCGTCGTGGAGGCCTTTAAAAAAGCCTGGGACCTGGTGGCACATGAGTGCCCCAACTACTTCCGCTAGGGAACCTAACCACACTGCTAAACCTCGGCTCCTGCTTCATTGAGGATGGAATTTCCATTCCTCGTGTGATGACCACAATGCCTACTCTGTTTGTTCCATCTGAGCTCTCTTATTGAAACCCTTTATGGAACTAGTAATGTGACATTTGTAATTGCTAAAAAGCTGGAGTTTTGAGTTATTTTTAACAGCTGACTTCACCTGAGCTGTTGTAGAATTACAAGCAACACTTCTAAATCATAAAATTATTAATTCATTGATGTGCTCGAATAGCTTAGTGGTTGGTGGTTTAAAACCCACTGGTTTAGGAAGATAAAATCCAACTGCTGGGAAATAATTATTCAAGCATGAGTGTTAAAAATCAGTAAGATGATAAGAGAAATGTATTTCAAATACCAATTTAAAATACTTATTTTTCATCTAATAAGAGTTTGATCTTTTTCAATATACAATTACCATAAAGTGCCTTTTTTAAAATGCCCAAGACAGTTTTATGGAAACAGCTTTTTGACAACATCCATTGGAACATCTACCATGTGGTAAACAAAAGATGCATTTCATTTCACGTTGAGAAGATTTCATAACAGCATTTGAGATTTGACTGATCTGGGTGTCATTTAAACCAGACCTCTTAGCAAAAAACCCAAATACTGGATAAAAAATGAAGTTATATTGTGATTCTACAAAAGCTGGACTTTACAAAACAAATATCAAACTGTATCCTATTATCTTGTACTTATTTTTACAAAGTATATGATATTTTAGATATACATTATTCTGCCCTACTCTCAGTGTACATCAAATTGTAGACTTTGTCTTTGTATTAACAATATTCTCCATGTACAATGCAAAGTTCTAGCCTGAGACACACTAACAACACAGAGTGTAGTTTCTCAGTATACCGCATGCAGTATGAGTCTGGATGCCTTAACTAAGCAATCCTTGGCACTGTGAAAGTATTTAAGAAAACACTCATTCTAGAAAGTCTTAGAGGGAAGAGGGCACAACACAAAAACAGCATTCTTGAAATCCCACTCTGCATGCTCAGTCTCTTTTGCTTTCATCATCTTCCTCATCTTCCTCCTCCTCCAAATCAGACCCATCCGCTTCCTCCTCTTCTTCACCCTGGTGTTCAAAGTCTCCAGTTTCTGAGTTCCACATGCACTTGATCGTCACCCTGAACTCAGCCAGCTTGATCCCGAGCAGTTTCTGAAAAAAGGGGGAGGCTCTGTAAGGGGTACACTTACACTACACTAGGCTTCTGCTCTTCCGGATTCACAAAGATGTGTAGGGTAGCAGCAGTCTGCTCCAGTGCCATTCACGCATGAAACTGACCAACCCCATTGTCGTAACCAAAAACACCCAACACGCTAGAGACCAACTTTTTAAAACTTCACTAATATGCGCATACTTGACTTGTAAAAGGGTTCAGTTTGAAAATCTAAAGCTGAAATGAAAGGAGAGAATAAAACAGTGCATCATCTCAAAAACTAGGACTGGTTTCAGTTTATTTCTACTAAACAGCTGCTTTAACAGACCACTGCCTCTGCTCTGGCCCAGAGAAATACACACAAAACCTGTGCTAGATGTCAGGTTTCAGTAGATCTTTCGATCATTCAATCATTCCGGTGACGTGAGCGAGTTTAACCTATGGGCTAAATTCTTGTGCCATTTGTGGGCCTGTGTAGCACTTTGAATGCATATCATAAGAGTGGTCCATTACTCCTTCCCACCTGTGTTGTTTTTGCTCCTCTATGTCGTTCTAAACAAGCTGAACACTTTTGTTCACTATTTCTTGCAAATGATGCACACTGTGGCAGTGGCAAAGCAGTTAGCAGTCACCTTCTTGTGGGTTTCTTCCCACCTTCTTAAAGACTAGGTTAATTGGCATTTTGAAATTGCTATTGTGCAGATGAGCACCTCACCATGGACTAGTGTTTTGTACAATCTAGTCCCTTCTTGTACCCTGTGCTTTTGGGATAGACTTTGAGTTGCCCTGACTTTTACTATAATGAGATCGATTAGAACTGGTGCATTTCCATTGCAATGGATTTTCTTCAATCATAAGCCTCAGCTGTGAAGGAATACAAAGATGAAGATAAGACACGAGAGCACGCTTGACACTGCATGAACTCACCAGAACAGTAGCCTGTTCAGGAGTCAGGGTATCTCCTTCTTTACACACATCATAGTCTTTCAGAAGAGTCACTACTCCTGCAGAGAAGATACACGGGACAATTAACACGCACACAAAGTGAACACATAGGCATGAGTAGTGAATGCACAGTTTTGAAGATTAAAAAATGATATAAACTGATGCCCTTGAGATCACTTAGTTCTTCGTTAAAACTGCAGCTTGACCCCACAGCCTTCTCAGATGTACAGAGTATAAGAGATAATACAATGACATATGTTTCAGAATAATAACTAGAAAAAAGTTCCTGACAGAGTGGACATAACATTAAAGAACTCAGGTTAGGGGAAAATAAAGCTTTTGCATGAAAAAAGCAGGAGCAGGCTGTTTAGTCAGACATTTCTTACCTTTCTTCAAAGCCGTGGGTAGACCCAGCTGTCTCAACTGTGGCTCCATGGAGTGAGAGAACTGATCCAAAGGTCCTTCATCTAGCGTGACTGCCATAGTTGCCTTGTTCCCTGCCCGTGCAAAATCTATTTCCTTAAAATGGCTAAAATACCTGTCACAGATAGGAAAGAAGTCTTAATTTATTTAAAGAAATGAGCCAGCATGTGGCTCCTCTAATGCGTTTGCTCTTTAACTTCATTATCTGACGAAGCATACTGCGACAGGAAGATTTGATTGCAGCCAAACAGGAAGAGAAGGCATTATCTGTACATAGATTACTTTGCTGTTAAATGTTTTTCAGAAGTGAAGACACTAGGGCTTCCGAGAAGCTCAACCAGTAGAGATACCCGCCCCAGACACACATTGAACTACATCGGCACATTGCTAGTCTGATTCTGGTTCATGTCACTAGCTGACTGTAACCAGGAGTCTTTAGATGGTGCCACACAAGCATCTGAGCACCCCCAGACTAGAGATGAGATTAGTCAGCCTGGGATCCATCCCCTTTCTGGGAAAACATCAATGCCTGTGACCCACCTAGCACCCTCAGGTGTGCAGTGAAGGTGCTGAAAGACACTGCTGCTCCATTTTATAAAGGGACTGTGGATAATAATAATGTAATTTGTAATAAATCAAATGTGAATGGCTCTAACAGGTGGGCATGTAGGAAGATATGCCCACTTGTCAGTTTTGTCCTGAGTGGTACAGGAGCCACTATTAAATAATTTGGAATCCTACATTTGGTGAATAATGTAAAAATAATTGGCTGCTGCAATATTTAACTCCCCCTGACACACAAAAAATACTCACTCTTGCACTTCTTCCTTGGTTTTATTGGTGAACAGCAGGCCTACCTCGCCCCTCAAAAACTTGCTGACCTACAGGATATAAAGATCACTGAGACACTGAAGACTGAGATCTGCGACTGAAAGAGCCAGTAATAATTCAGAAACAATTCAGGCATCATTTCCCATTTCTCTACACTTGGCACTAATTTTGTGAGTGTAAATAAAAGAGTCTCTTAAACAACAGTCAAGTAATGAAAGCATTACATTTGCAGATCCATCACATTCACAGCATTCTACTGCCAAGCGGGTTCGTAGTGTGAACACTGGACTTTTAAATACAGATTTCTACAGAAAATCTACAGAATTTTGAGATTTCAGGTCCGAAGTCGTCCTTTTTAACATCATCTATCCTCAGAATGAAATCTACCCCTTTATGTTTTTCTTACTTCACAATATTCTGGAATTAAGCTGCCTTTCTAGTGTTATTCAATGTATGAATTATAGGCTTTATTGCAGACTAATCTTTGTCTCCTACAGATGAAAATGAACAGAACAAGACACTGACTGCCTGGTATGATGTACCTTGTGTAAATTATCCTTGTATTCATCTGCAGGCCCCTTTCCCAAAGCAATCATCATTACTTTGTTCTTGCCAAAGAAGAACCTGAAGAAGAAAAAAGGGAGAGAAAGATTTAAACCAAAAATATGGCAATGTAAGTGAGGAACAAGGGGACTAGAAATGCCAAGGCAAATGGGGTTCAAGGTTATGAGGGTGCTTTTATCAAGAAGACATTTTGTCCCACCTGCTGTGCTTCCACGCTGTCCTTATGTCTTTGAGTTTGCTGTTCCTCATATTGGCAACAGAGAAGATGAAGAGGTGGCTGTACATGTCCACACATTTCCGCAGCTAAGAGAACAGACATTAATTACAGCCGCAAACTATCCATCAGAAATCTTATGGTTGATAAGGTTCAGAGCCTATTGCATGGTGTGCGGGCAGAGATATCTATTAACCTAGCCAGCATGTCTTTCGGAAGGCAGGAATGAACAGGATCACCCAGCGTAAAGGCATGAGAGGAAACTCCAGACAGAAAGGGATTCACAATCTGTGAGCCAGCAGTACCAACAGCCATGTCACAATAACGCCAGTTAGCCATAATGTATTGAAAAGGGAACAGGAAAACGGAAATTACCTCTTCTATTAAGTTCTGCTTGGATTCCAGTCCCTTCTTTGTAGTTTTTGTTAAAGAGACTGTAAAGACACATACCATGGTAAGGACTCCTTCTAAACGACATCTGTTTTACATTAATACTTTTTAATATGATTTTTTATGTTATTAAAAGCACAATCTGAAAATTACTGTATCCTGCATTTAAAAGAAGATAAGTCTGTAAATCTTCGTCAAAATATAAACCGCAACATCATAAACTCCAGTCAGAATGAGTACAGTTCTTGATGAAAATTTGGCAAAATAAAAATTTTTGGAGGTTCACAGGCATTATCAATTAATTAGTGCATTTCAAATATTTCTTGTGTCTGAACTGATTACTAACCTCGGAAAAATAAAATATTTCTCAAGTTCTAACTGGAAACATAAACTACTTCACACTGAAATGATCTCTTCTAGTTAAGCAATACACTCATTTTATCACCACGTTGATTTTTCTTCCCCAGATAACATGTCCTCAGATCATGTCTTCGCATTAAAAAAAAATAAGGATAAAACTAAACATTTAAACTCACTTTTCTTGTCTCTCTTTGATTTCGGCATGATTCTCACGTTGCACCAACCACGCTACTCAAAGACCCCACACGCTCGCGATGCTTCCTCAAAGGCTGTCCACACACTGCCTGAAAATATAAGTCAACAAAATGAAATAGACATATAATTATGTTCATGCGATAAATAAATTAAATACATGTTCTGGAATTTTTATTTTATTTTTCAAATTCGTATTCTATCTGGCAATTTGGAGGGAGTACATTTTTATCTTTCTCAACTTCATCTCCCGGTGGATTGTGGGCTAGTGGAGGTCTTTCTATTTCACTATGGCAGGTTTTTTGGCCGGTTTCGCGTTTTTCTCCTTCTTATTATATCACTCTGCTGCTGTTTTTGAAGACCAGGTCGGGAAGTTTGACTGGTGAGTTACGGTTTCAGTTAAACGCGATCGTTTTGGACGGAAAATGCGTTTTTTGTACCTGGAGCAGCACTGCTCGTTAATGAAAGAGGGCTGTGACAGATTCCCGAGTGTATTGGACATATTAGCATTTGAACAAATGTAACGCTTCCTAGTCTGTGTAAGCGTGTAACTTCGTGTGGGGTTTTAGTGTGTGAAACCGTGATAATTTAGTTTTTGTACGGAACAGTACCCTTAGTTTTTGCAGTTTTGGTTTAACTAGATGAAAATGTGTTGTAGGTCGAACGATGAGTTTTTTATCAGTTCAAAATCCAGCGGCTGGTTCTTTAACTCTTGAGTATTTGAAAGATGGAAAATCTGTACACCTTCGTTCCAAGAAGGAGGCGAGGCCGAGTATTTTGTGCATTGAATGTATGTATTTGTACTGTACATAACCTTTTTAATGAAATAGCCCTTCAGTGACGGCACCCGTGTGTTCTCTGTCACAGGAGACAGCAGTATGTAGGCAGAGTACGCTTCGCCTATTTCGACACCCAAACGCAGGCATCCAAAAAGCTCCTGCTGGCCACCGAGCAGAATATTATCGCTTCCCTCAATTCCAGGAATGGAGAAATCTGTAAGTAGAAGCAGATTTGCAGAATATGTGTCTTTGACTGAACTTGCTGTCTACATCCTCTGGAAAATGTACCAAATCTCCACTAGTCTCCTGGACTGTTCGTCTAAAAGTGAAAAATACATTTAATCAGCAAAACGTGTTTTAAAGGGGGGCATAGTGCTGGTCCTGAGTGTTTCAGTAAAGTCTTTCTCTGATTACCTTGCACCTTGTTATAATTTGAACTGGTACCAGATCTAACACATCCTAGGCAGACTTCTGTTAATTGCTGACAGATGACATTCTCAGTAAAAACATGTTCAATATCTGACGAGTCTCGAGGGGGTTGTTGTCAGTTCTCTCGTGGTCTGTGATGTTGTTCTCCTCCGTGTGTGTAGTCTGGAGGCACGTGGACAAGAGTGGGCCAGAGGGAGGCATTGAAACGATGCTGTTCCATGGTCAAGGTGAGTCCAACTCTTTCCTGGAGTGCAATGGAGCAAAATAACTAGTAGCATCAGTCTGGTTTCTGTGCTTGTGTTTTATAAACACTGCTGTTTTTACTTTATTAATCGAAAGTCTTAAGTATAAAGTAACAAAAACGAATCCTCGTTTTCCATAATAGAGATCAGTGGCTTATGAGAGTTACTGCACTGCCATATTAATTTGCAATGTGATGTTACAGTAAGAAAATTACATTAAGAGTAGCAGTTTTGCTGCATAATATACACGATGCCAAATACCAGGTGTTGCCCTAGAATCATGAGGTGAAGGGAGGTTAGTCAGATGGGATCATGATTGCTGTTTTGGCTTACTGTTCTGTTTGCGTTTATCCCCAGATGCAGTGGTGGTGTCTGGAAATGGGCGATTGTTGCGCTCTTGGGAAACTAACGTTGGTGGTTTAAACTGGGAGACCCTGTTGGACACTGGAAGGTAAATGAACCAATGACTGTAGCTGTCTCACCCCAGATGGTGTTAATTCGTTTTTACCCAGCTGTTAAAAAATAGTGCTTTTGAAAACTTTTAAATTTTAAAAGTACTAATTCTACACTTGTGTAAACAAAATGAAAATTGCACTTATGTGTTTCCCGGAATGTATTCAGCGTACTGCTTTACATGAAGATGTATAAGTATGGTACTTTAAATGTTAATGCCCACTTTATACTCAAGAGTACTGCACTTTTTAAGCTTTTTGCTAGTTAATTGTCAGTGAAGTGTTTGAAGTGACTGACAAAACCTGCTTTTTCTTTGGCACAGTTTTCAGGCGGCCACTTTTGTAGGGTTGCAGGACTCGGTGAAGTATGTGGCCGTGCTGAAGACAGGTGCCATCTCCCTGCACTACCTCTCCAACGGCCATCAGAGATGGGTAGAGAACCTACCAGATAGGTAGGCCAAAAGAATGATGGCTTGTTTCCCTCCTTTCCAAACCCAATCCCAGTGTTTTAGTGGCTCCTATGGAATCATGAGCAGCAGTACAGCCTGTCAGTGGAATTTTGAAACCATGATAGCTCCACCTTATAATATGGTGAATTACTTAAGTTAAAATACATTTGGCTCAATGAAACCCAGTAATTCTCAACAGTTATTGGAGTCTATTGAAGTGTAAAGCCTTTACAAGAGCACTGTGTGTCTGAAAAAGGAGATCAAAGTGTGAGATCTTGTGTTTCCTACAGTGAGACCGTGCAGTACCAGACAGTGTACTCGGGGGGTAGTGGAGAGGTCTATGTGTTGGGAGTAGTGCCTCACTCCCATCTTGTCATCATTGCCTACAACATTGAGGATGGAGAGATAATGAAACAGGTAAGCATGCATTCATTGGCAATAAATGTCAACGTATCACTTAAGCAAAGAAGCTTCTTAGGATATTATCTGTTTTTTTAAACTTGAGGAAGCCTGAAATTGAATTACTTCAACAGTAAAATGTGTTGAACTCTACACTTATTTTACTGGCCATCGTAAGCCAAACACATTTGAAGAACCATTTAAAGAACATTTAGTCTCTGTTCTGTGTATTGAATGCTTCTTCAGCCCCTAAAAACTATAAAAGTATATTGCAACAGTACAGTTATGTCTTTTTAGTAATATTTTTCAGAGTGCCATTATCATGCCATAATTTAGAGCTTATTTTTACTGTTATGACTTTTAACATTGTATGTGATAATATTGAGAATATTGTTCTCCTGGAAGATAGGACAATGAAAGCTGTTTGTCTTGATAATAGAGTTGACAAATCCAAGTGGGTTCTAGCTGTGCTGGTTGCAAGAACTGATCTTTCTTATACTGTTCAGTAAGAAACAGTTTTCATGTGTCATTTTGTCACAAAGAAGTGATATCTCTGTGAATATATTTTTCCAAAATATTTGTTTGCTTTGCTAGAAATAAATGCCTCAGCTGTGTTTATTTAGTTTACTGGATTTGAAGTTCAGTGTTTAAAGTTAACTGCAGCTGTTAACATGATAAACTCTCTGCAAGAATTATTTGAAATACAGCACAAAGATTCAGGTATTTCTGGCATGTCACAACCTAAAGCCAGGTAGAGCTTTTAGACACAGGTCTGACTGCATCATCTTTAAATTTTAAGATTCTGATTTGTAGTTATGCAGCCAATCAACAAGGCGTTTATGGACAGTGTCTTACTAAGTAGTGTTTAATATGTGAGAAATATGCAGTAGCAGAGTACATACTAAAAGGAGCACATTTTACAAGGTTTTAACACCATTATATTTAGTTTGACAATGCTGGTGCCTTATATACATGTGTACATGGCAAGCCACGTGTGTTACCAATGGGATTCACCATATTAACCATATTAAACCATACCATATAAACCATTAACCATATTAAACCATATTCACCATATTAAAATGATGCTGTACTGTCCTCTGCAGAGATCTGTGGAAGCTCCGTGGCTGGCCAGTCTGCAGCCAGGCTGTGCAGTGGTCAGCACTGGGGTCCTGGTGTGTGTTGACCCCACCACCCAGTCCCTCTACACCCTGCCCCTGGACACTGACCACCAGCAGGATATGAAGCAGCTCCTGCTGCAGGTAAGCTGGCTGCTCAGCACAGTACTTATTAAATGAAAAGAGTAAATTTTCATAACTTTTTTTAATTACTTTCATTGTTTTGGTTGTCTAAAGAGTGTTTTTCATATATATATGCTTTAGATGGAAATGGTGTAGTATGGAGGAAATAAACCATTCCCATCGGCAGGTGCTGTTGGGAGCCCTTGTTAACGTTGTGCTCCTCCTCCCTCTCGATCTCTCACCAGTCTCTGGATCTCGAGGTGTCCCTTGGATTCCAGCCGGTCATTGTGTCCACCCAGCCCAACCCGGCCCGGCCCCCACTCCCCGAGTTCTTCCTGCAGCTCGGCCCCGATCACCACACCCTGCTGCAGCTCGGCGACGGCCTGGTTATCTCCCTCCGGGCCTTCCAGCCGGTAAGCAGGAGCTGCCTCCAGCGCTTTTCATTCTAGAGCATCGGTTAGCAAAATCTAGTAGACAAAGTCTGATCCA